ATATATATATATAAATAAATATATATGTATATAAATATATATATGTGTATATACAAGGGTTGAATTAACGCATCGCGATTTGCGATATCTGTTAAATTATCTGGTCTTCAAAGTTTCAGTTTATGAAAAACCACGAAATTTATGGAATAGGCGAATAAACTTTAATTTGTTAGTGAAAATGTTATGAAAAACAAAACAATAAATTTATGACTACAAAAGTAATAACGCTACAGTGTTGTTACTTTTATAACACTCTTTTAAGTTACATTTATAGTTTATTGTTTGATCAAACAACACATAATCAAGATATTATAAATAAAAATGATTTAGTTAAGTAATTCCAAACTTTAATTAAAGTAGTAATGCATCTAAAAAAAATACAATGGATATTTAAACAATGTTAAAAACCTCAACAACTTTTACGAATACATATTTTTATAAACAGTTTAGCATTTCTAAACATCTTACTAACGGTCCGGAAAAAACGCGCGTTCACTTTAAAATCAACCAATAAAAACACTGGTAATTTACTTCTTAGGAGAAATCTATATTAAAAGGGGAGGGGGAGGGGAGGCTAAAAACTTAAATTTTGTTTTATTATTTAATCAATTAAATCATAATAAAAGTAAAGACAAAAAAATATATTTCTAAATATACTTCTTTATAACTAAAATTTATTAAATTGAACACCTCTGTTTTTAGTTTTAAGTAAATGCCAGTACTACTCTCAGTGGCGAAACTGCGGGGGAGGGGGGTTAACAAACAAAAAGTGTCCTGATTTTAAACTAATTTTAGGTTGCATGGGCGATATGGGGCTCATTTTGAAAATCGTGTTATTTGTTTATAGCAAGTCACTTGTTATAAACAAAAAACTATATCTCAAAACAAAAATTCAGTGAAAATTGGCCTTAAAATTAAAAAAAATATATATTGGTAACCGATAAATAATAAAACTTTCATTGTAAATTTTCCCGCTTTTTTTTATAATTTCCTCCTCCCATTTTATACATCCTGACTAAAATTCCCACCCCCACCTACCTTTGTATTAAGCACATTAGAGTAGTCAGTAGCAAAATAATTCAACCCTTGTATATACACATATATATATTTATATACATATATATATATATATATATATATATATATATATATATATTATATATATATATAAATGTATATATCAGCGTGTAAAATAAGAAATCGAAGGCAAGCGGTCAATTTGACCAGCTAACCCTTGACGGTCAACTGTTTTTTTGACGGTCAACTGTTTTTTTGGGCGGTCAACATTTTTATTATTTTCTTTGTTTTCATTTTAATCTTTGTAATAGTTCTTCATGACTGAACTTTATAAATACAAAAATAACTTAATATTTGATAATTAACAAATTAGTATTCCCTTTTTTAAATTTAACTAACTAGCAAATTACTAACATTAAAATTACACACCAATGTTAATAGTTTAAAATTAAGCGCGCAGATTTTCATTTTATTTCTTAAAGGAAGTTTGATAAATTGATAAACTTTTTCAAAATTTTAATGATTATATGATAATTTAGTACATGCTTTTTCCAAATAATAATCTGATTATTTTTCAAATCTTGTTTTATAAAACTCTGATTATTTTTTAACCGGTCAACCATGACCAGCGAGAATTAATTTTGGGAGGTCAAAATAGCAATTTTACTCATTTTGGGCAATCATTGACCGTTGACCGGCCGTTATTTTACACGCTGATATATATATATATATATATATATATATATATATATATATATATATATATATATATATATATATATATATATATATATATATATATATATATATATATATAGACAGTTTCATATTTAACCATACAACACATAGCAGCCCAAAGGCTATTAATTATAATATGTCAACTTTATATACAATACACATGAGAAATACACTGTCCTACAGCATTTGTAGTGATGTTAATAATTTTTTAGATTTGTGTATTAGTATTAATAAATTAACAGTTAAGATGTTTGTTCTGAAAGAAGAACGAATGTCCCCCATCAACTTTACAGCTCTCTCGGCTACTATGTTGGTTCGAGGCACATCAAGCATTGATGGTTCCTTCTTCCAGTGGGTAGAGAAGCATTTCACAGCTTTGGAACGCTTAAGCTGGGATATTGCTGACAGCAGGTCTTCATTAGCTGCCTCTGCATAGTGCTGGTTTAAAAACCAGGCCCGCGACCATGTAGTTGCAACGAAATCGCAAGTTATCCTCAGCTGTTCTCGCCAGTTTGGAAGAATAAAAAGTGCAATAAGCGCAAAAATGTCTCTTGAGTTCCACCTGGCACTGTGCAGTGATAGCAGCTTGTGCCATTTGATACTAGGCCATTTTTCCTCATTTTTATAAAACTTGTATGCTTCACAAAGCTGAAAAAGAAATTTAAAGTCATCTCTCCAGCCAAGGTTCTCATACTCTGCTACCACTGCTGTGCCCTTGTAGGCATTTTTTAAATCATCTTAATGGTCCGTAATCTCATCAAAAAATCTGTAGTTAATGTTAGGCGACTGTGGCTGTATAGGAAAAAAGAAATCCAACACATGTTGTAGAACAAGATCAAGAATGTGGTGTTGGCAGCCGATGTATTGAGTTTCATCGAATCCCTTGTCTCGAAATGTTTTCTGAAGCTTGGCTACAACTCCATTCTTGCGACCAGTATTTACAGCTATATATATATATAGAAACTTTGAAGACCAGATAATTTAACAGATATCGCAAATCGCGATGCGTTAATTCAACCCTTGATATATATATATATATATATATATATATATATATATATATATATATATATATATATATATATATATATACACACACACACACACATATATATATATATATATATATATATATATATATATATATATATATATATATATATATATATATATATATATATATATATATACAACCCTCGGAATTACCTAACTGCCGATCTGAAAATGTTTGAGGTCGGCAAAAAATTGCCGACCTTGTTTCTATGTTTTATGGTCAGACCTTTGTATGAAATAATTTTTGCCGACATCAAAAAGATTGATGTCGGCAAATTATTGCTGACCTCATTTTTCCTAATTCCGAGGGTTCTATATAGCATGTAGATACTACATATATTATGTAATAAATGTTCAACATATTTCATTAATTTTATGTTGTAAGATTGCAACTTTTTATGATTACTAAAACAGTCAGTAAATCAATGATGTCATCAGTAATTAGTCACATTCAGCCATTACATATTTTTTCTGAAACTTTACAGATGATTCCAGAGTCCAATCAATGAAGAAAATGCAAAGAGAGTTGATTGAAAAAAGATTTATGTATGATAATCTAACATTCGGTCAATTTAATGTACTAATGAGTAAAGTACATAATTTGTTCACAGCTGTTGATATGTTTATATCAACAGCATTTCCCTGATGACCAAAAATATTTAGTCAAAAATCAGCTTTTGTCTGAGATAAAGGACAAAAAAATTATTAAATAGTTTCAAAAATTTAATAAACAACTCTTGTTTATTATACAGTAAAAACACATTTAAATAAAAAAAACCCAATAACAATGACTCCTGCACGATAAATAATTTATGATTTAATTTACACAGGTCCACTGTGGTCAATTTAGGGGAATTATTTGACCAAAACTTTCAATTATTAAATTTAATTTTTTTAGTTACTCATAATGAAAGTCCACATGTGAGATGCACACCTAATATTTCTATTACATAACCCTTATTAATGTGACAGGCACTTAAACATTATTCTTTGTAACAACATTATCATTCTTCTATTTTACTTCAGCTATCAAACTCTGAATTTCATAGAAAATTTACAAAAAACTTTTAACTTTATAAAACTTGCAGCAGAAATTAACAAAGTCAAACATGTTACTTGCAAGCGATAAAAAAAATTATATTTTAATTAAATTTATTGTTCAACAAAACCTTATTTTGTAGGGCAATCAAGCACTCCAATCTATATGATTTTGTGGGGAATTCAAGCACTATAATCTATATGATTTTGCAAGCTGCTCAGGCTAGAATATACAAAGGAAACTAAATAACATGTTTTAAAAGAAAAATATAAGATAAACCAACAAATTTAAAGGCTGAGTGATTTTAAAATGGCATTACCTAATGTTATAATTTTAAATATTAACTATAAGCTATATGATATTAATAGATGGTAAAATCCTGAACATTTTAACAGATACTAAATCAAGTCAAGTCTGTCCTAATTGCGGAGCTACCCCTTGCCCTTGAAGCAAGGAATAAATTTTATAAGTGAGATAAAAAAATCCATGCAAAGAAAATTAGCCTATTAATGAAGATACTTTTAAAAAGATCAATAGATAACTTTAATCCAGTTATTTCTAGCACAAGCTTGAAGTATCACCTAGAGCAGCAATACAAATTAACATTACCTTCAGAAGTTATTGCCATGTTACCACTGCCACGAGTATTTATGGCTGTGCCAACATCTGCAATAAATGTTGTAGCCAGCTCAAAAGACAAAGATAATATTGGTTAAGAAACTGGACCATTAGACTATTCGGAAACTGATACAGAATAAAATGTAAGTTTTCTAGATAACTGTAAATTTACTGTTTTGTATTACACAGGTAGTATAACTTTGTATTTAACAAAATTTTATTTTATTTTTTATAATATTTCTTAACTTTTAATCCTTTTAACTTGTGAAATAAAGTCTTTACTTAGCAAATAGTTATATATATAATACTGTTTCTAAGGAGAAATAGTTTTCATAGTAACCACGTTGTAGGCAAATATTGTTAATTAAAAAATATTTTTTTATATTCTTAAGACCACTGTAAAAAAACTCAATGAAAATTTAGATCTAAATTAGCTGTGTTCAGAAATTGGATAATGCCATAACCATATGTTGAATTTAATGATAAAATCAATAAAGAATTTTCAAAAAAGTCCTGATAAAATACAAATTTATACCTGAAAAACAAACATGTGTTTTCCTGCTTGAATATCGCCAACAAGTACGGTATCAAGAACTTGATCATATTCTGGATTTTCTGCAGCGCCAACATACACCAACTTCCACTCTAAATCTATCGTAAATTTATTATCATAAATTACATAAATTTATTTTATGTATCATTTGTGATTTAGTTTCAGAATAATTAATTTATTTAGTTTATAATATATATATATATATATATATATATATATATATATATATATATATATATATATATATATATATATATATATATATATATATATATATATATGTATATATATATATATATATATATATATATATATATATATATATATATATATATATATGTATGTATGTATGTATGTATGTATGTATGTATGTATGTATGTATGTATGTATGTATGTATGTATGTATGTATATATATATATATATATATATATAATAAACAAAAATCTTAAAATCTTAAAACATATTCTATAAAATAAAGTGCTCAATGTTCTTAAAAGAACAAAGCAATTATAAATTAGTAGAAAATCATAATATATACAAACAAACAAAATAATGCTTGTGCAAAATATATATTTTTAAAATAGCAAAATTTAATGTTTGTAGGTTGAGTCATATTTACTTACATAAACTATTAATATAATATTTAACAACTATTTTAAAATAAACTTGAATAGTTCAAATGACCAATTAAAGAATTTCATTAAAAAACAAAAAAACTGTAAAAAATAAAATAAATAACAATAGAGCTTAAATAATTTTTAAAAAGCTTTAAATTTAAATTTTTAGTTTTATATTTTCAATTAAAAACTTAATAAATAAATAAAAAATTTAACATATGTTTTTATTATTATTTATATTTTTATAATTATATTTTAATGATTATTTATAAGTATTTATTCTAAAAACAAAAGAACTTATATGCAATACTTTTTATAGTTGTGTTTTTAACTTGCAATGTAAAATATGACTTAATCAAAGTGAAATAATAGATACACACGTAATTTTTTTTTTTTTTTAATACACATAAAAGTCTTTTCTTTTATAGATGAAATGTGAAACAAAATAATATTTATAAAAGAATTATCTTTAAAAAAAAACTCTCCAAATATACACTTAAACAAAGTTAAAAAAATTAGATAAAATACAACATTCTTTTAAACAATTTTTCTGGAAAACGTTAAAGTGCTTGAATAAATTAATATTGTAAAAACAACCCTTGCTGACAATTGTTTCTAACCTATTCATGATATGATACAAAACACATATAAAAATATTAGGCATTTCAAAAATTCATGAAAAAAAAACAAAAAAAAAACAAACTAAAATAAACTTAAAAAAACCTTAGCGTTTATTAATTATGTTTAGAATATGTAACTTTGAAACTATTACCTTTTCTAAAGTTTTTTTTTTTTTAGCTTTTAAATGATTTATACTTTTTACTGTTTTTTAGGTTTATTTTGTTATTATTTTCTCTTTTGATAAAATTTTTTATTTTAACAATTTTTTTTTTTAGTTTTCTCTATAGTTTAGTTCGGCTTCTTTTAGCGCTTTTTTTAAACGCTTAAATTGTCATAACATGCAAACAGTCAAGTTGTCTAAAAAAAATATTTTATGCGTAGACAAGACAAGGCATCTAACTGCACATGTGTTCTGTAACACCCTGATATATATATATATATATATATATATATATATATATATATATATATATATATATATATACATATAGGCCTCGGCAGGAATAAATAAGCACGAGAGTGGAGAAAAGCTCTCCTAAAACCAACTTAAGGAGCTGTGCGAGCTGCTCCTCACTTAAATCTGCGCTCTTTTTTATATTTAATTTTTTTTTTGCAACAAACGTGCTTTTTAAAAAACATTGCAGAACATTATGCAACTAATTTTAAACAATCACACTCGATAATTGACCACGGAAATATTTTCAACCAATAAAACTAACGCTAGATGATTTATTACAAATAAAAAAGTTTTTTCAATAACTGTTTTATGCTTCGCATAGTTTAACACATTTGAAACAATTCTTCTTAGCAAGATGAACAAATAAAATAATTAAATCATTGAGTTACTTTAGAAATTTAATTAGCTAGATAGAAATTAACTAAAAACGTTAAATTACTTTGTGATGAGGAAGCGGAACTGCTTCACAATACTGCTGATGATGTTTAACGAGTGAACTTTATAATTATAATTAGTATTTAAAACAGAAAAAAGTAACTTTAAGTTTAGATATAACGAGTTTGTAAAAATGGCTGAAGCATAAATAATTGAAGTTAGTAAACCAATTTCTAAGAACTTTAAAATTTTTCTTTTTTGGGGGAAAGAATCAGTTATCGGGTACACTGAGGAAAATGGATTAGTGGTTAAAATTATTTGTATTAACTTTGATGATTATTAATAATTTCATTAAAATGATATTAAATTATTTCATTAATTTCATTCGGTTATTATTTTTTGAATACTCTAGAAAATGCAGCTAGTATTTTTTTTACCAATAGATTTAGTTTTTCATAGATTTGGTGGGTTTTTTGTGTTTGCGAATATTCTTTTTTTTTTTTTCCACACAAAGATGTTTAAGAACATTCAAGTTTATGTATGCTTCCATGTAAGTCCGTAAAACAAAATATTTTAAAATTTACGATAAAATAATGAATTTAATTATCATTTTGCGGACAAACAAGGAAACATACATAAACTTGAATGTTCTCAAAACGACTAAATAATCTGGCTGGTTTTTCGCAACTAAATAATATTTCTATGGTCAGTTATCGAGTGCGATCGCACCCGGTTCCTGACCAAACCTGGACATTGTGTTTTTTATTTTAGTTACAACGATAATTATACTTTCGTAAAAAAAATTATACTTTTGCGAAAACCGCAAAAGTATAACTTTTTAATTAATTTTTATAATTTAAAAAAACCGAAAAAATTTTAGGAAAGTGTGGGCGAGAGCTAAATCTCTCGCTTCCCGCCGAGGCCTTTTTTATAAAAAACTTTTACTGAAATTTATAAATTATAACAATTTATAAAAAACTTTTACTGAAAACTCCTCTCATACTAAATCATACTAAAATATTTCCATTCTTATATGAAATATTTTATTGTTTTTAAACACTTTATATTTTTATATTCATAACTTCCTTTAAAAGAAATTATTTCTAAATTTATTTTTTATCAGTCCTTTTTGTTTTACATGAAACTGTACTGATATAAATATTTAGAGCAGTAGGGTCTATATAAAAATCAACTTTTTAACTAGGGTCTATACAAAAATCGACTTTTTGAAAAACCAGTTTTCAACTTTCAAAATACAAAAAATCCATGTTTAACCGGTTTTCGAATTATTTTTTGAAAAAAAACTGATTAGGGAGAAATATTTTATTCAATTTATATAAAACCACAAAAATCAAAAACAGAATTAAAGACAAAATGTACAAAAATGAATCACACATAATCCACACCAAATGAAGAAAGCTTTTAAATGCAAAAAGTTCAAACTAGGAACAGCATTTATATTTGCTTCACTTATTTGAATTTTTCCTTAGGAAATAGGATTTTAAAAAATATAAAATGCCCAATGAACAGTGGCTATAGCCAAGAGCTGTATTTTTACCATGGGTGGCCCTAAGCTAAATCAATTTTTGGAACCCTCAAAAATATTTTGCAAAATTATATTGAATGAAAAACTATTAAATAGATTAGAACTGATTGTTATTTGTCCTTGTATATACAATTCTTTAGTTAAGTGTTACAGCTTTTATATACATTATTTCTAGAATTCCACATTTAATCATCAACTAAATTATAGCGCAGTGATGATTGTGAAATTTAGAACTTTACAAAATGGTAATAATTTTCTAAAAGATAAATGTTGTGCAATCATTACAATTATAAAATTAATACTTTTTACCAATAACAAGTGTAAATATGCTACACTTCTATCGCTTTTATAAAGTGACAGAAGTGTAGAATATTTTAACAAAAATAATAAGAACAAATTCTAAAGTTTAAATAACTTTTATTTAGTTGTTATTTTAAGTTGTTTTTTACAGATAAACTTTTGGATTTTGTCATATCCAAATGTTTGCATCAAGCAATACTTAACAACCAAATCTTGTGCAAGTTTATGAAAAAGAGCATTCTGATACATATTGTCACAAAGAATTAAAAAAGAATTAAAAATATGATCCTTAACTTAACTGAATAATGAGAAAGAGTAGAAGTCCCTTCTGGTAGTGGTAAAAAAACTCCATTCTGATCTGCAAAACAGGTCAATGCCAGAAACTGCATCCACTTGTAAAAAATTGCTTAAACTCTTTCATAATATCATATTTAAATAAAATACAATTACATGCTTTGATAGGAATGGCATGCAATCGAACGTTATTGCTGACCACACAAATGATTTTTTTTTATTGTCATGATGGCTTGGATGCAGTAAATTTATTTACACATTGTCAGGTTACACCCCTGTTCATCACTCGATGGGAAAAAGATAGCCAGATGACACAAGACGTGTTCAAAATATTTAAAACAGGTATTACTACATATTTTCTGTCTTAAACGCGTCTTTTACCCATAGGTAGCAACTAGCTAGCTATTTGCTAGCTAGTCCCTAGCTCATATCCCACTGAGGTTATTTACTTATTAATTAAATTAGTGTTATCAAAGTACTTTAATAATGATTCTACTTAAATAAGTAGATTAAATCGCTATCTTTATTGTTACAAGTTATTGCTAGCTTATATAGCTAGCTAGTTGTTAACTTATCTGGCTAGCAATCCTTGAGGCCAAATTGCTGTCTTTATTGTTACAAGTTGTTGTTAGCTAGTTGCTAGCTTATATAGCTAGCTAGTCATTAACTTATCTGGCTAGCGATCCTCTTGGCCAAATCTATTTTTATCCTTATAAGTTGTCATTAGGTAGCCGTTAGCTTTTTAGCAAGTTAGTGGCTAGCTTACATAGCTAGCTTACATAGCTAGCTAGTCGCTAGCTTACATTGCTAGCTAGTCGCTAGCTTACATAGCTAACTAGTTGCAAGCTTATAAAGCCACCTAGTTGCTAGGTTATATAGCTAACTATTCGCTAGCTTATACAGCTAGCTAGTCGCTAGTTTATACAGCTGACGATCCCACAAATATCTGTGAAACAGATAAAGGTATAAAAAATTACTATAAAGAATAACTAAAAGGAAACAATTGCATTAAAATTAGTTCATTGATTATTTTTATTGAGAAAAACTTTTTTACATGGGCTATAAAGACACTTTTATTTGTTATTTTGAAAAATATTTTTTTAGATTTAATAGGAAGAGTTCCAGGAGTAAATTGACTGATACTTGATTGACTTAATGCCATACTTAAGCGTTTGCTTGAAAGGCAATAAGAGACTGATATAAGATATGGATCTAAGATTATGGTTAAAAATATCATTTTTGAATATAAAATAATTATTGAAGCTGCTGGTTATGCTATTGTGGACCATGTCCCATACAAGTATACAAATTGACAAGTAGATGAACTCGTCAAGCTTCAAAATTTTAGGAAGACTATATGGTATGTTAAAACTAAAACTATTAGGCTGAAAATGAATTATTCTTAATGATTTAATTTGAAAGTTTGTTAAAGTTTTTTTTATGAATGTATGAACTTTGTCAACATATCTGACAACCATAGTGAAAATATACACAAGGGTTTCATAATTGATAAATGCCTTATTTTGGTAAGCATTTTATTTGCTTGATTTTATTTGTTGGATGAACAGAAGATTTTTATTCAACAATATGCTTAAATACTTTATTTCGTTAACAATATTTAGTTTTTGACCACAGATTATAAAAATTAACTTTAAATATTATTTTTTTATTATAAACATCAAGTTAAAATGTTTCAAGATCAGCTGAGTTCATTACATAATATGGCAATAATACTTTTGGTTTATAATGTTTTACATTTTATTTATTTAATTTTAATCATAATTATCCATTTTTCAAAATGCCTTTGCATCTGTGTGACGGTTAATACATTTATTTTTTTATAAACAAGATATCTAAAAAAGGTCTTTTAACTACTCAAACCTACAACACTAATGTTTATGGCAAACTTTTGCTAATGAAAGCATATAATTTTTGTTGTAAGAAGTGGATATGCTGATAATAATATGCTATGATGACTTCAAATATACTTTATCTTTATAAATATGACTTTTGGAATCCTGTGGATAGAAATGATGCATGTATTCAATATAAGTTTATATAGCTACATTTTTTTTTTTTTAATAAACTGAAACTATTTTTTATTACTTTCTATTAATTAAATAGCATAAAAGATTAAATTAAAATTTAAAAAATTTCTTTTTTTATATAAGTTTTTTTATACACTTTTTATTTATTTCTTTTTCTTTCTTTTTTCTTTTTTTTTTTAATTTTTACTTATTTGCTTGGGGTTTTTTTTATTCTTTTTTGTTGTACTTTTCTTTTTCTATTGTTGTCTTTTTTTTATTTTATTTGTAATGAAAATAGTCACTTTCCTTGTTTAAGTAATTTTTTTATTTCTTGTTTAACTTATACTTTTTATTAAACTTCTTTCTTTTTTCTTTTTCTTATTTTTGTAGTTTTGAAACTTCCAATTTGTGGTTTATTTGTCTGCATTTTACATAATATATTTGTGTATAGAAATAGCAATTAGAAATATATTACCTTAATGTTTTTTTCAAGTTATTCCAAAATTTATGTTTTAATTCAAAAAATTATAAACTTAATAGATTTATTTAACATACGTTTTGAATATACACATAATTACACTTAATTATTAAGTGTTGGTGAATTGTTGTTTTTATAAAAAAAAAAAAAGATTAAGAAGTAACTTTCAACTTCTTTAATATTGGATAATAGTCTTAATTTTTTATTTTTGAAATAATCTTACCACTACTAATATCCAAACATTCAAATGTTATTTGAAATTGAAAAGGCTCAAAGAATTTACATGGATTATTAAGAACTCCAACATCTGTCACCCGTACACGAGCAGCCATCACTTCTCGAAGACTTTATATAGAAATTAGGCTAATCACTCTAAAAACGCATATAAACAGACTCTATGTTGCACTACTTTTTGAGATGAATTATTCCTTACGCTGATTTTAAGTTGTCCTGTTTTGTTTTGTTTGATAAAAAAAAGTTCGAACCGCTTAAAATCGAGCGGGAATACTCATCTTTTTTTAAAGAAATCTTGGTGCGCATATTTAAAATTTAAATTAATTTATTCTAATTATTTCATTTTGTCTCAAAACTAGACATTTATAACAATAGAACGGTTGTCATTAACCTTTTCTTTAAAGCTTCAACTTGCGCTAATTGCAAAATTGGTCGAAAAAAGTAAAAAAATACTTATAAAATGAAATTAAGTTTAAATTTTACATATTAGAGCCGGCACTAAAAATACATTGGTTTTTTTTGTGTGAACTGTTTGATTCTCAAAAACTGTGTTTTTGAGAATCCAACAGTTCTAAAAGTTTCAAGAAATATTGTGAAAACTCCATAAAAAAATAGCCCTCAGTAGCAAAAAATTGTCAAATGGTGATGCACGCTTTGTGGTAAGTTTGGTTTTAGAGAGAACTTCAACAAAATGGGTTTACCATGTTTTTTTAATGAGAATTGTAACTGGTAGACAACGTAGAGAGGGCGCAGTTTTTACTAATACTAACTTATCTCACGAACCGTGCCTCGGATTTACATAATCTTTTTTACTAATAGAAAGATATTTTCACCTGCTAAAAACTTGTTAAGAAAAATTAGGGGAAGTTACCAAGGCCTAATTGTACCTAGGGTCACTCAACTTTATTTGAAAACTATAAAGTTATGCTTCTCCGTCAGGCAATTAATTATCAAGGCCGACAACACCGGTGGGGGGGGGAGCAAAAAGACACGTACCCTCACCCCGTCTTTTTCTTTTATATAGAAAAATCTAGACTTTTTTTAGGAATTGACGATTGTGCCCCTCAACTTCGAAACCCTTGTTGTCGGCCTTGGTTATACAGTTTTTGTTTTTTAATCTTATTCTGATTCTCAGAGAGTGTGTCCACATAAAGAGTGGTATCCGTACCAATTTTATAAGGCTTATGAATTATATTTTAGTATCATTCAAACTAATAATGTATTCAATAAACGGTGCTCATTTTTGTACTTTTACAATTTAGTTTTTTTAATAGTTTTATATTGTTAATTAGTGTTTATTAGGAGCAATTGTGCCTCATTTATGTTTTACATAATTATACTATAAAATGTAATTTTGATGCTCAGAGCTGTATCTTTTAATATCTGCTGTAATAAAAACTTTAGTAACAGTTTTTTATTTTATAGGCAATGATGATTTTGTCCAATTGTCTATCTGGTCAGTGTTGAATGTTACTAGTGTACTTTACAAACACACACTCGTTTTTTAAAAACTTTAACAGAGTCCCAGTTATACACTTATCATAGGTAATAAGGACAAACAAAATAGACAGAAAATAAGGTTTGTCATTAATTGTATTTATCAAAAAAAAAGCATAACTTTATAGGTAAAAGACATCACAGAATCGGAAACTAGAACTTGACCACTACAAGTACTCTTCAATATACTAATTCTTGCAATAATCTTGCTTTTGACAACAAGTTCTAAAAAGTTTTTTAAGTTTATTTAAATAAAAAAATGTATATGTTTTTCTATTTAAAAAAAAAGTGTTTTTTTTTCCCCTCGTACTTTGATTGACATTAATTGAGTGCATCGGGGAGCAGGCCGGAGAGCAATATTATAAAATCATTCATAGGAATTAATTACTAGTGTAGGTATTAGTGATGTGTAAGCAGTAAAGGCTTTTATACTAACACAACAATCACAACTTTTGAAGCACTTTAAGATTAAGTATGCTCAGATGTTTGCTTCACGACGGCACACAGTGGGTCAGATCTCAAAAAAGCTGGTCATAAAGGAAAAAAAAAATTTTCGATACGGTATTTTTGGACTATCAGGTTGGCTTCAGTGATGTTGGGACTACTTAATGCCAGGTATCCAGAAGATCAGCTGTTCATTTCGTGCGCTATATTGCAGATTGAACGCGGCAGTCCTTTGTCTGTCGTACTTGCGTACGTTAAAGCTAAGAAATCGTCTTTTTTTCAAAAATAAATATTTTTGTTGTGTGCACGTGAAACAAATATTTTCAATATGGAATTCGTTTCACATGGTATTTACTAATTAAAAAACAAAAATATTATTATTAAGTCATTAATTATAAAGGTTTTTTTTTAATTAACTCAATACAGAAAAATATTTTATAAAATTGTAAAACTTGCTTTAAAAATAGAGATAAGTTACGAATTCCACAATATTCCACTTTCATTTGCATTGTGTTTATACGTATGCAGTATTTTTTTTGTGATTTAACATTCAAATTCACCTACTAGTACCAACTCCACTTTTAAGCTATGTTTTATATGACAGTTGCAAAATGCCGTTATTGAGACATCTTGAAAAATGAAAGTAAAATTATTTAATTATGAGCTACATTAATTAATATAATTTTAATTATAATCGATGTCTAGAAGCATTATAAAGAAGATTAAAAGTAAAAAAAGGACGGGAACAACGCTTTCTCCTACACAGTGAGATGAATAACTTAGAAAAGGACAGTGATCGCTACACACACCGCCACACAGTAGTTACCATTTTCCAATCTTCAAGATATGATTGCATTTCCATTTTTTTTTCTTGTTTCATATTTTAAACTGAATAATTGGTTATTTTTTTAATTAGATTTTTTAATATTAAAAAATATTTTTTATTAAAAAAGTTATTAACTTCATAATTAAATTAAGAAAAAATTAAATATAAATACAAACATATGTTTTTTAGCGCTTTTAAGTATTTAATAAATTATGTATTTATTTAAGTTAATAAATAAATGCATAAATAATGCATAAATTGATAACTAAAATAAAAATTGTATTTGTATTGTATTGAAAGTACTTATATAGTAATTTATATTTATCTATACAGTAATTATAAATGTATCAATACAGCAATTTATATGTAATTTATACAGTAAATTAAATCTTTGAGTCATTATCATTTTACAGTATGGAATTCATTTAAATTACTGGATAATACATTATATATTTTTATTAAAATTAGAATATCAAAATAAATAATTTAGTTTAAAATTTGGTCGCCGTTTTTCGGACTTTCGAGTTTACGGGCTTATTAGAAAGCAAACGATTTGGAAATGGATGGAATTCATTTAAATGATGGTATAAATACAATTATATATTTTATTAAAATAAAAAGTTAAAAACTTAACTAAATATTGAGTAAATACATTTTAAATAAGTATACCTAGATTTTTTAAATTTAGATTTATCAGATCCACCCGTTGCCGTATATGGACTTTCGAGGAAAGAGGTCTTTATTATAACAAAAGAATATTTTTCAAACGATTTGCAAGTGATCGTAGAACATTTGGAAAAGTCATTGACTGAAAAGATTGGATATGTAATTTCAATTCGTGACAACATGAGACCTACTATTTCTGTTTTAATGACAAAGTTTAGAAAGAAATATAAGGAAGCAGATCAACGACAAGATTACTTTTTCAAAAAGAAGAAAACTGGTTAAAAACTTCAGTATATTTTCAGATTGATGCAAAACGTGCAATTGTAAATGAATCAGCGGGTCGACCCACCGGAAGTTTCGAAACTTTATCTGATAGGTCCAAAAGAAGAAGGACTAAAGAGATGCGTACGATGCTCAATACTGCCGAACTATCATTTGCTACGCAAATGAGTCTTCGATCTTCAGGGCATTCAGACGCTGCTAAGATTGTGAATGACGTTACACTGTAAAGTCCATTCAAGACAACAAAATACAAGGAAAGTTTGCAACTATCATTATAATTGCCAGCCTTTTATGATGAAAATGAAGCTCTAGCGCTTTTATTAGACCTAAGTTTTACGAAAGATTTGTACCAGCATTTGAGAAATCAGGCAAAAAAAAAAGTTTAAATACATTTTATCCACCATACTCAGCTGTATTGGCAGAAAAAAATGTTGCTACCCTCCAGACGACACCTTAAATTTCACCGAATCAAAAGCTGAGGTACAGTTGCAAGTTTTATTAGACCACAATGTTCAACGTATTTTACTGCTGAACCAAGGCAATATTACATATAAGAGTGATTCAGAAACATTGAATATGACTTTGAATTGTAAGTGGGGTTTTGACGGAACATCCGGACAAAGCATTTATAAAATGATTTTTGAAGATCCGAATATATCAGATGCAAGTTTACTTTTTACTTCGCTTGTTCCATTGCAACTTGAAGGTGTAAATCAAGAAACAAAAGAAGAAAATCTCTTATGGAGTAATCCGAAGCCATCTTCAACCCTCTTTTGCAGACCTCTAAAATTGCAATTTACAAAGAAAACCGAGGAAACTTTTATAAATGAGAAAACGCATTTTGACAAACAGATCAAACAACTCCAACCATTAAAAACAACCATTCATATGAAAAAATTTTTTATTCAATACAGTTTAAGTATGACCATGTTAGATGGTAAAGTATGCAATGCTATCACCAAGACAAAATCTGCGCAACGGTGTTATCTCTGCCAGGCAACTTCCAAGCAATTTAATAACATTGATAAAGTTTTGCAAAGACCGGTAACCACTGATTATCTACAGTACGGACTGTCAACTCTACACGCTAGGATTCGATTTTTTGAATGCTGTATTCATTTGGGATACAAAAAAAAAAAAAAAAATGCGAAAAAATGGCAAGCGCGTAAAGAAGAAGATAAGTAGGAAAAAGCAACAATGAAAGCTAGCATCCAAAAAGCTTTCAAACAGCAACTAGGAATTTTAGTCGACATGCCAAAGCAAGGGTTGGGCAGCACGAACGACGGAAACACCTCTCGACGTTTCTTTGAAAACACTCAAACGTCATCCTTGATAACTTGTGTTTCTGAAGAGATAATTCACCGTTTTCATATAACTTTGCAAACAATTTCGAGTGGACATGAAATTGACGTTGAAAAGTTTCGAGGTTACGTCTTAGCAACTGCAAGACACTATATCAAAGAATATCCCTGGTACAACATGCCAACATTAGTACATAGATTGCTGATCCACGGACCAGACATCATTTCTTCGGCCATTTTACCCATTGGTCA